AGTACACAGAATTTGCACAGTCACTTTAAACTTAACAACCTTTATAACACACCCTATAAATCACAGTGATTCACACATTTTACGTACGGTGCCTACTGTTCGCTTGACTCAATTATCTATCTCTTCAATCTATCTGCATATCTATCTATGTAATCGCGCTGGTTTTTCTCGCCAGGTTTATATACTAAAAACGAGGGTGCCTCGAACAAACGCGAGCCCCCCGATAATTTATGATCCTTCCAGTAACTCCAGCGCGCGACTTCCCCTGTAAGTCTGCAGCATCTTTGATACAGTTAGCTACCCCAAAAATCTTAATACAAGACATGAAAATGAAAGGAAAACTTAAATATAAGAAAATACAGATTAAAATTGAAACAAATTACGCAAACATTTAAACTCTAGAACAAAGAAAAGTTCCTTTAAACAAAAATAATTTCCTTTATATTGTTGTCTTTTGTGAAGTCCAAGAATCGAAAATATTTCAATTGTATTCTGTTGTTGGTGAAATGTTTGCTTATAGGAGTTTAATATGGTTTAGATCAGCGTTTTTCAACCTTTGTAGTAACATGCCCCGTATAAATTTCAAAAAATATCCCGAATCCTACCGCAGAAAATTATGAAAGTATAACAATGTTCATGAGCGTGACATTAATTTATAGTTAGCGTTTTGTGAGATATTATATAGTTTGCATTATACTTTTGCTGTTTTGCAACATTTTATAAAATACTGTCATATGAACTTAAGTCTTTTCGCGCCCCACCTCAAATTGCTTTGTGGCGCAACAATGGACCGCATCCCACCTGTTGAGAAACTGGTTTAAATGTTTAATTGCTTGATTACAGAGTTGGCGGCCTGTTTGTCCAATGTATTGCTGTAAGGTGTTCTATCTTAGGGCTGGTTCTTTTCTATTTTTGTAAAAATAATGGCACGTAACGATAACAAATTAATTTTTTCTTAAACATCGTTTGCTACTGACTACACTTATTTTGACACAACTTGTAGGTCTAAGATCACAAAAATAAAGTTTCAGTAAAAACTGTTACACAAATGTTCGCTTAACTCAAAAATATATTTATCTACAGAATATTCTCGTTAATTGATCAAGTAACTGAACAGACGTGATAGTTCTGAACTGAATCACTTATTGATTACTCACTCACTTCTCATTAACAGACTGCTTCATTGTCCCTCGTATTTTTTTACATACTGCACAAAATTTCCAGATGTTGTATAATGCGCTTTCTAGCAAACATCCATCTAAGATAAAGTATTGAAAATATAGATTGAAACATTAAGATACAATACTTCATAACCTGAGCACTTTCGAAAGGTAGACCTTTCTTCTTTAGGGACAAACTGGGATTCAAACACTTTCATCTTTCTGGATTGTGAAGTCCCTTGAACAATACTAATGCACAAATAAAACAGGACACTAAAACTGTCTTTGGTTACCCTCTGAAAGTGGTCCAGAGAGTAACTCTGGGTTCTTCACCAGGTTGACTTTCGACTGACTAGTCCTTCTGGTAAATTATTTTTACAAACTTTTATTTCCACAAACAAAGCTGATTCAAAGTTCTGTCCCTAATCTGAGTGAAGTTGCAATGACCACCACAAGTCTTGAAATGAATTCATTGATGAATTTTCTTGCTAGATTTTCTGCTTCCAGATTAGGAATAGCAAACGCTTCTAACCATTTTGTGAAATAGTATATTAAAACCACGATGTATTTATTCCCACTGTTACTCTATGGCAAAGAACCAAATTTATTGACAGCAACTTTTTCAGGTGGTGCTCCAACACAATACTGATGTAGCTATCCATGCAATTTCTTTCCAGGACCCTTTTCACTCATAGCACAGTTCACACAATGTACATTAATTCTTTACAAATCCTCCAGAACGCAGCCTAATAGAAGCATTCTATTATCATTTCCAGTGTATTCTTAACACTTAAATATCGAATCACAGGAATGCTGTGGAGATGACAGAATACTTCAAATATATAGACTATGGAAATGCCAATTGTATTCGTCGTTTCTGTCCACTGGTCCAAATAACAAGCCATCTTGTAGTCATAATGAATCCCACTGTGCCCAGTACAGAACGAGTGATTGCTATGAGGGTTTTTCTGCACTATTGTTAATCCACTGAATAATTGGTTTTCGACTAATATCTTTTGCCTGTGCATTTTTCAGTTAAGTGTTGGACCACATTAGTTTTTCATCATTTGTGGATGTCACATCTTGAATGACCCTGTTGTACTTTAGGTAGGTCGTCTTTACTATTTTGTACTTCTTGAATGATACTCTGTTTACACTTTAGGTTGGTCTTCTTTACTATCTTGTGCTTCTTGAATGATACTCTGTTTTACTTCAGGTTGATCTTCTTTACTATCTTGTGTTTTTTTGAATGATATTCTGTTTTACTTTAGGTTGGTCTTCTTTACTATGATGTGCTTCTTGGATGATACTCTGTTTCACTTTTGGTAGGTCGTCTTTACTATCTTGTGCTTCTTGAATGATACTCTGTTTTACTTTAGGTTGGTCGTCTTTACTATCTTGTGTTTCTTGAATGATACTCTGTTTTACTTTAGGTTGGTCTTCTTTACTGTGTCGTGCTTCTTGAGTGATACTCTGTTTTACTTTAGGTTGGTCTTCTTTACTATCTTGTGCGTTTTGAATGATACTCTGTTTTACTTTAGGTTGATCTTCTTTAATGTTTTGTGCTTCTTGAATGATACTCTGGTTTACTTTAGGTTGGTCTTCTTTACTGTGTTGTGCTTCCCTTATTTCACAGTGTCTTCATTCTTCATTAGCAGATGTTTTTCGGAATTAATGCATCAACATTTATATGGTTCTGTCCAGGACAACGCACGATGTTAAAGTTATACTCCTGAAGATTATGGCCTTCTGAATTGCAAAAATTTACTACCAGTTTCAGTGTTGCATAATCTTTCCAGAGGCCATACAACTAATAATGGAAATAACTGAAGGCTCGAATAACACTTATATGATCTCACCAATGGTACAATGTCTCTTTTCTGCAACATTAATTGTCTTACTTTCACAAGCAATCACATTTTCTTTTCAATTTTGTACTTGTGATAACACTGCTCTAGCTGCAAACTAACTGCCATCTGCACCTAAAATGAGTGGATATTCAAGAATTGACAATGCTAACACAGTTTAGCGGCAATTCAGTTTTTCAGTTTGTTGAATGCTTATTCAGAATCAGCAGCCCAACAAACCTTATTTGGGTTTTCAAGTAATTTACGTAGAGTATTTTACAAAGTGATTATAGTAAGGGCATAGTACAAGAAATTCTCTTATCTCACGCAAGTTCATATAGATTGTGAAGCTATTTGAAGCTAGCCTAAGCTCGCATCCACATCTTCACATAAAGATAGTTCTCAATATACACTATTCTCGGTATCAATCTCACACATCATGAGGTATAAAGAATCTTCCTACAGTAAGGGTAAGTTTCAACTTTCTTCTTTCTTAAAGTTTATGTCTACTTGTTGTTTGCCTTAATCATTCGTAATTTCTGTAGGCAATTTGTCATCTTTCTTTACCTCATCAGGTCATACTATCGTAGCTGTAGAAATAGTGTTGATGAACATATTGCAAGGTTTCTTATCATTGGTTAACTAACTGATTTCTTACCTAATGAACTTCTTATCTCATATGGGGCAAATGGATTATTCTAAGCTGAGCCTCACCTCATAACTTTAGATAATTCCAGTTTTAGGTCTGGTTATTTCTTTGATGTTCCTTTCACTTTTTTGGGGGCTCAAAGGCTCATCATTAGGGTTTTTAGAATTTAAAAATCTGATCTTCGCCAATTGTCAAACTAGAAAAGTTTTTAGTTATAGTTCTTAATTGTATAAATATATACTATGTTGTTGTTGGGCTTAGGATTCTTCTACCGTAGGTGTCTGTGACTTGTTAGCGATGAATTCAACGATCAATAAACAGCACGCTATTCACTTGTTTTCAAAATAATATATACATTCAGAACAAGCTAACGAATTGTTACGACAGCGGAAGTCACGTGACTGGTAGAAATTCTTTCCAAGGAACTTCAGCAATCCAAGTTCTTTCTTGATTAAATCCGTTTATTCTTTCTTGATACAAACTCTTAGTACACAGTATTTCCACAGTTAGTACGTTTCTCGTCACTTTAAACTGAAACAACGTTTATAATACACGCTATAAATCACAGCTATTCACAATCTCGATAACTTCGCTCTCTACAAGTGCAAAACACACACTAGCTCGAACAGAATCGTAAATTACCCGAAAAACCGTAACTACTGTTCGCTTAACCATACATTCAATCCTGCTGGCTTTTCTCGCCAGGCTTATATACTAACAAAGAGGCTTTTCCAAAATTCGCGGGGCTCCCCGATAATTCGAGAAACTCAGTCACGCATGCTCCCAGCGTCACATGACTTCTGCTGTCGTAACACTGCCCCTTCCTTAGTATTGTTCTTCCCGAACAATAGCCACTTACGTTAAAACAATAGATAATTAACAATAACTTGATCGAGTAGTGGGATATGATCATCTCGGCTTCAAAATGTGGAAAGCAATTTTGTAGAAATTAATATGGTAGGACACTTCCAGTCAACAAAAGTGTTTGATGTGGTGGTGTAGG